CACAGAATGTCCCAACTGAGAGGGTCTTAGAGGCCATGAATCTTGTCCTTTCTGGATGAAGAAAGACCACAAATGACTCCTACTTGCCCAAGGTCACAACACAGATGAGCAGTTACGAATTGGTCTATGTCTGCCTTAGACTCCCAGCCAAGGGCAGTTTGCCCTGGATCACACCGACATTTCACCACCTTTGCAGCTGGAAAGAAAACCCACTAAAGCCAGGCACGCAGGCGGGTGCTGGGGACCAAACCTGGGCCTCGCATGCTGAGCTTTGGGCTCTGTCACCACAAAGCTCCACCTCCACCCAGTACCACTCTTCATAAATGTTTCGTCTCCATCTGCTGTCAGCACAGTGACCACCGACGTGTGACACCGACTCCATAGCTGATCTCATCAACAACCAGTGACGCCAGTTACTGTTATCCTGCTTTCGCTTGTTTTTAGCCCGGTACTTGTATTTAACCCAGGGTCTTGTGCATGCTGGGCAAGGCATTCTACCACCAAGGATTATGCCCTGCCCTTGTCGTTTCCATTTTAAAAAATGGAAAACCTGAGGCAGAGAGAGGTCACACGGCCAGGACAAAAGTAGGTCTACCTAACTCATAGTGGCTTCAAAGTCCACCCTTGAAAACACCTCATTAAACTTTATGACATATGAATCCATTAAATCATAAAAAATGAGGAAAAGGGAGTAAGCATAAACACACCAGGGGCACGATTACCAATGATGTATAATAAATTTAAAAGCTAACTGTTTTTAAAGTATATCCCACAGGCCGGCTAGATGGCTGGGTGGGCTAAAGTGCTTGTTCCCAAACCTGATGAGCTAAATTCGGTCCTAAGAAGTCATCTGGTAGAAGGAAAGAACTGATCACTAAAAGCTGCACACAAAAATAAATAGATAGATAGACAGATAGATAGATAGATAGATAGATAGATAGATAGATAGACAGATAGATAGATAGATAAAAGCTGCCCACTGACCTCCACATGTGTGCATACATACAACAATAAAAATTTTTAAATCTCTTGGCCATGTATTGGAGTTTAAATTTTTTATTACATGTAATTGTTTGTTTTGTGTGTGTTTCTATGCCTTGGCCCAGGTGTGGAGGTCAGAGGGCAACTTTCAGGAGTTGGTTCTCTCTTTCCATCCGTATGGATTCTGAGGATCAAACTCAAGTTGTCTGGCTCAACAGCAAGCGCCTTTACCCTCTGAGCTGGCTTGCCAGCCCTCAACTATCTATCTGCTAAGGAAATGTCTGGATACGTGTTTGACAGACTGCAGAAAGCATGCTAGCATTTCAAGTACATAGTTTTCCCATGCTCGATGGTCACAGGTAGCTTGTCCCTTGCCAGAGGTAGGATGTGACTCACCTGGTGGCTTGAAAGGGTCTCTTCTGGGCAAGCTTCAGTTACTGCCTGCTTTGGTGCCCTCCCCCCACACACAGACACACATACACACACACCCCTCTGCTCTTCAAGAAACGTCATTTTCATGTTAACTCTCTACTAAAACCAAATCTCAAATTATTAATAACTGAACTGAAAGCAGAGACTGAACCTCTAAAGTTTAACAAAATGTATTTTTGATAGGCACATTCGAAACCAACATCACTGGAATAAATAACCAACATTCAATTATCTGTTTTTCACTTTCCCTCTTATTAAAGGAATGATGTCAAGTCTCATTACCTTGCTTACCCAGAAGAAGAAATCCAGGAGCAATAACAGCTCAAATAAGCAAATTACAACTGTATCTAAGATCAAATTTCGGGAGGAAAATGAGTGCATTAAGAAGATGCTCTGCCACACAGACTCATTTCCCCAGCCAGATGTCTTGATGGTGGAGCAAGCAAAAAGTCACCCTGCAAATAGGATGACTCCTAAAGCACAGAAGCCATAGGAGTGCCACTCTGTGCCTGAAGTCAACCACCCAGGGAATGAAGACAAAGAGCAGTCACAGGCACACTGTGACCCCTCAGAGTTGCTGAGTGAATGAAAGCTGAAGAAAGTTTTCACAGAACATGAGGCCCATGGTAGAAATTTTCAAAACGTCCAAGCAACAATGCTTTGGGTTTTGACATCTTTCGATACCATTATAACAACAGTGGAACCAGCTACCAAGGACTGGATGAAATGATAGACTATAATCTGCTCCAGGAAAAAGAAAGAAAAATTCTCCTAAGCCTGCCAGACCTGCACCTGGTAAGCAAGAAAAATATCTCTAAGCTCAGCTTTGCCTAAGCAAGAGATTCAGACCCAAACCTATGGACGGCATAATGTTTCCAGTACAACTCTAACAAGGCAAAATTCCCTGAGTTTCTGCATTTCAAATACATCACTGCTTTTTATTTAGCACCCTCTGTAGAAGATGCCCAGAACGACCCAACTCTTCCTAACAGATCTCACCTAAGGTCACAGGTGAACAACCCTGGAGCTATTCTGGAAACTAACACAAGTACCATTGCGATGAAACCAAATCTACCCACACCAGAGCTGTCCTATCTCCCAGGACATTAAAGCAAAATAAAATTACAGCCTGCTGGGACTTCAAGAATAATTTGGTCTATTTGGTACCCTCGTAACCATTTGCCAACAGAAAAGGAGTTTCTAACATTTACATTATGAATCTTTCTTCTTGGAAGTCAAGACTTGATCTCAAACTCAGGAAGAACTTGGCTAGAGCCAAAAGACCAATTTTATACAAAAATGCTTAATCTTAAAGTAAGAGTATATCCCGCCACTTAATACCCACTTAGATTTGTTTTTTTTTCTCTTCTCACATGGCATACTAAAGGAAAGGAAGTCACATGTATCAAAGCACAAAGCAAAGGCACAGGACTGAAATGCCTATCCAGTAGAAGTCTTAGCCACAAGAACAGTTTCTTACGACAACACAATGAGAAAGTACTTCAGATTTTCCACAGTACCCCCATGGTTTTAAAAAAAAATGCAGTGAAACCCTAGCAGGGCTAATGAGATTTCACAGAACCTTCATCACACACTGATTTCCTCTGTACCTTTAAACATTTAACTGCTTAGAGGGCAGACGGCAACTTCAGAGGAAAAACCCATAACACACCTGTTAGAGAGCCTGTCCACCGCTGGCCGGGTTGTACAGCCTTGACAAGAGAGAAATAGTCACACGCATGGCAAACACTGTCTGCTCTCTGGTCTCATGTCGCATTAGCCACAACACTCCCAGAAGTCCCATACCCAAGAACTAGTTCTGTGCCTCAGTGTCCCTAACCACTAAGTATCAGGTGTGGTACTATACAAGTTCTATAGTCAAAATAATTGCACATAATCACCTATAAAGTCCACATCAGAATGTTACATTGGGATGCTTTTAGAGTACAACTTACAATATTCTCTTCCTTCAAACAGTCCAACGGAGTTAGCTCAACTATTCATGGAGATAAGACAAACACCCATTTGTTTTAACAACATTGACATAAAAATCCAAGACAGAGGTATGGAAACCTTCCCAGGCAAGGTTATCAGAGCTTGGATTATCGGGTCCAAAGCAGATCCCACTGAACCTAACTAGGGCGAGCCTTTGATTTCGTTTACTGAGACAGCTTCAGAGCCTAGGAACAGAAGAGGACAAACTACAGAAAAGCCTGGATCCGTTCTTTATAACTGTTTCTTGACTACTTGGTACAGAACCAGTGGCCAATCTCCACAGCTTGGCGTGTGTAGAGACTGGGACTCCAGCAGGGGTCAGGGAGCCAGAAGCGGGCAAACACAGATGTTGCCTTTCCACCGGGCCCACCCAGATGTAACCAATAGACAGGACGCTGTGGGCTCCTAAAGTAGTCTCCCTTAGAAACCTGACTGGTGTCTGGGAAACCAGAGCTGGGTTTCCTGGGTGGTCTGAACACCCAGTGTTCACAGGGCTCACAACAAGGGAGAATGCCTTCTCCACCCGTGACCCCTACCACCCACACTCCAGTATTCCAGGAAAACCGTTAAAACAAGTGCATGGGTTCCCACGGAATCCTAAAGGCCCCTCCCAAACAAGATAACCATAGATGCTTTTGTAAACTCAGTAAACGTTTTCACAAGAAATAAATGTCCTGAGCTTGAGACTGACCAGCAGTCTGGGGTCCCCCAAACACCTGAAACTCGGCCAGAAGCACAGATGGGAAGAAGGGACTCTGGCTCTCAGGCGCCCGCTTCTCCACCACCCGTAAGCCATTGATTTCCACCGCTCGAGAGGTTGAACTGCCTCACCCTCCGCACACTCCCAACCCCGGTGCCGGAGGAGCTGAGGGGTGGCTGCTGCCTCCTCCCCGGTGTGCTCCGCTCGGCAACTGCCTCCTCCGACCCCGCACCGCCATGCACTTGTTGCCATCCCCCAGAGACCAGGAGGCGGCGCCCATCCCTCCGGCTGCCCAGCCGGCAGGGTGCAACCCCTCGCCACCTCTGCAGACCCCTGCGTCCTCGGAGACTCTGAAGAAACTTTGTCCCCTGCGAACTCAGGTGGGCAAACTTCACCCGGGGCTGCGGGGGAGACAAGAAGGATGGCTCCCGCAGTCAGCCTTTACCTGGAGCTGTAGCCCGGGAGCGCCCGGAGCCCCGGCCAGGCGCTGTCCCCGCGGCCTGCCGAGGGCGACACGCCGGCCAGCGTCGCCCTGAGCGGGGAAGCCGGTCCCCAGCTGCCCACGCCCCTCCGCTCGGCTGGTCGCACCGAGGGGCGGAGCCGCCGCTCCCCGCTCGCCCGCCGCGCCCACAGCTGGGGCCGCCCCCGCGCCCCCCGGCTCCCGCCTGCCCACCTCCGGCCTGCCGAGCTCGCCGCCGCCGCCTCATCACATGGCCGCGCCCGCCACCGACTCCAGGAGGAAACCTGAAGCTGCTGCGGTTCCGCCGCCCCCTCCCTCCGCGGGGCGGCGACCGGTCGCCTCGGCTTTCCTCCCGCGGCGGGCACACAGTGGGACCTGCCGGGCCAGGGCAGGGTTGCACCCTAGCGGCGGCGCCCGCTCGCCCCGGGGGCCTCCACGCCCTGGTGGCGCCGGAGGAAGGAGCTGGCCTGTCAGCTCCTAAGGGGAGCAGCGCCAGGCCCTAGGGAGGCTTGGGTTGTCCTCAGCCCAAAGCCACCACACCCGGGACATAATAGCACCCGGGTCTGTTACAGTAGGAAGTACTATTTTAAAAGAAGCAACCCTCGTAATTCATGGGGATGGTGGATGTTACTCTGGTCCAGAGCTTTACAGCCTGGATTCCCTAGGTTTTTAGGCATACAGGAGCCTAAGTGGCATTTGGATGGATGGATGGATGGATGGATGGATGGATGGATGGATGGATGGATGGATGGATGGATGGATGGATGGATGATAGACAAACAGATAGATAAATAAAATTTAGGATTTTTTTTTGAGAAAGTCATAGCCACTTATACAATACTCAGCAATGTGAAGGGACCACCTTATCTTGCTGCACCTAATTACTGAGCACTGACTCAACTCCAAGGTAAAAATTCTCTCCATTGTATAGCTCATCATAAATTAGGTTTAAGACGGTCATTACAGCTTTAAAGATAAAATTATCCATCTGCTTTTCTGAAATTATCTTGAATATTGGCTTTGTTTTTCTCAAGAATATGTCTACATGAACATGAGAGGTGTGGCGGTCCCAAGAATCTGGACCACCAAATTCTCCAAATCAGAAGCAGGACCCCACCCTAACCATCTCCACCAGATGCCCTGGGCCACCCTCTTAAAGCTCCTTATTTAAACAGAGCCCGAGGAATGATGGGATAGCAAGAAAAGATGCCCAGGTCCTATCCCAGCACAAATGCTGCTCTTGCTTCCCCACCAAGGACCTGAAGATCAAGGACCTAACATTGGCCTTGCACTAGTGAAACCGGCACTCACGTTAACTGATCTCACATCGCTGAGCCATAGGCCCCAGAGAAGAGTCCTCTCCACTGAAGAATTTCAAGGTCCTGAAGATTTAAAAAAAAGCAATAGTATTATTTTCAAACATCAATATTTTCAATTTGAAAATGTCAACTGGAGATTAACTGAGTCAACACACCAGACAAAAACAGTCTCCAAGCTGGCTAACAGAAAAGTGAGTGAAAGAAGCCTTCCTTGTTGACCCTTTGTTGCTGCTGTCCTCTTATTTCATTTTTGTTTTACTTTTTCACTGATTCTGTAGTATAGCCAGACAAAAAGCAAGGGATTGTAGGAAGAGGAACAGGTATTGTAAGACATTACGCCAAGCCTCTTCCACACTAAAAAGAAGCAGACAGGGAAACTGTCACTAAAACTCTCAGCAGGATTGTAGATGAGGACATGTAATCCCACTAACTGCAGTTGCCTTGCCCTCCCTCAAGCACTGGGCTTGATCAATATTTAAATAAGTACTTGGCTTTCAACCGTTCTGGGTTCAAACTCTAAGCGCATGCTCTGGCAACTTGAAAAGAAGCAGGTGACTGCCTGAGGCAGGAAGATATCCCTTGTGTAAATAACCCTATGCATCTGATTGATTTCACTCCTGCAGACACAGGTCACTCAGGACGTGGATAGCACTGAGCTGGGCTGGAACCGCACGCACGTGTTGAAAATTCAGACAAAGCCTTCTATTCTCAGGCCACAGACAAGAAGTGCTCAGCCAGGAAGAAAGCAGGTAGGCAATTCTGCTGGCATTGCCCCAGCTTTCCAGGGAGTCCTCTGCAGTATCCCAGCTGGTCTGTCTTGTCTAGCAGTCCAACCTCCATTCATTCTTAACCTTTATACTATGCAGATCTCCTCCATAAGTCCCTTCTCCATTGTTCTGTTTTCTTCCCTACTCCGACCTTTGACAAAGAGTCGTAGTCTTATCACACAGAATAGCACTTGCCTATACTTGCTGTCATGGGCAGGACTATTAAAATTTGTACTCTGTCTCCAGGGTGCCCTTTCAAGGACAAAGGCCTGATGATCTCCAGTCCTGGCACAGAGTACCTGGGGAGTATTGAATGGTAGGTAGCTGTTTGTTTTTTATAATCAGCTATGCAGTATGGAACATGTCCATCACAATTTGCAAACATTAATGGATTAGAATTAGTCCCAATTCTATTATCACCTAGTAGTTTCCTATACTTTATCTCCTTTGTTAATAACTCTGAGAACATGAATAAGTAAGTCTGGGATTGGGCCATGAGCATTAAATGGCCAACCAATAGACAGTTCTAGTAAGTTTCATTGTCTTAAAAGAAAGCGTGGTCTGAGACGTTGGCCAGTTTGTCAGGGAATGGACCAAACTTCAGAATTAGAAAATGAATGACCTTGGGCACACACCAATCTTTCTAAGCCTTCATTTCATCATCTGTAAAATGGGAATAGTGTCTACAACCATCGTGAGCATTAAAGGCCTGGCGAATGAAGAATAAAATGACAAGGACACAGGAAATAGTAGCAGGTAATATTTCAGAGTATGGAACATCAGACATTTCCTTGTAAAAGAAGACTTGTGTAGCACCTAAGTATGTGAGTGTGTGTATGTCTGTGGGTGGTGGTGTGCGGGAGAATGCAGTGCCTGCAGAGTGAGAAGAGAGCTGCCCATCCCCCAGAAGTGACGCTGGGGTTTTGAGTCAACAGTGTGGATGCCGGGAACTGAACTCAGGTAGTCTGCAAGAGCGGTACTAGCTCTTCACCACAGAGTCTTCTCTTCAGCCCCCACTTAGAAGTCAGACTTGAGACCAGCCTGGTCTACAGAGCAAGTTCCAGGACAGCCTCCAAAACAATACAGAGAAACCCTGGCTCAAAAAAAAAAAAAAAAAAAGGTCAGACTCCTTGGTCCAAATTTAGGGTACACAGAGAAAAGAGGCTATCCTAGTTAGGGTGTCATTGCTGTGATGGAGCACCATGTCCGAAGCACGGGGTGGGAAGGGTTCATTCCGCTTACACTTCCACATCACTGCTCACCAGGGAAGGAAGTCAGGACAGGAACTCAAACAGGGCAGGAACCTGAAGGCAGGAACTGATGTGGAGGCCATGGAGGAGTGCTGCTTACTGGCTTGCTCCTCGTGGCTTGCTCAGCCTGCTTTCTGATAGAACCAAGGAGCACCAGCCCAGGGATGGCCCTACCCACAATAGGCAGAACCCTCCCCCATCAATCACAAATTAAGAAAATGCCCAACAAGCTTACTTACAGCCCAGTCTTATGGGAACATTTCTCAGCTGAAGCTCCCTCCTCTCTGATGACTAGCTTGTGTCAAGTTGACATAAAACTAGCCAGCACAGAAGCCAATCCTAACTTTCTTTCTAATGCTGTGGCGAGTGCCATAATGAAAAGCAAGTGGGGAGGAAACCATGCATTTGGTTTCCTGATCACAGTCCATGAAGTTAAGACAGTGCCCTGGGGCAGGAACTGAAGTGGAGGTCACAGAGGGACGCTGCTTACCGGCTTGCTTTTTCATATAACCCAAGACCACTTGCCAGATGTAGTACTGCCCACAGTAGGCTGAGCACTCCCAAATCAACTATTAAAAATTTTAAAACATTCTCCCATACACTCTACACGTCAATTTTAGGTAAGCGTTTTCTCAGTTGAGGTTCCCTTTCCCCCAGGTTACTCGAGCTTGTGTCCAGTTGGAGGGGAAAAAAAAACTAATAGCACAGAGGACAACATACTCACAACCAGGGGACAGGTCTCAAGTGAAACACTGTCCATGCACAAAATATTATTTACCTTCAGCTAATCCCTGGTGGCCTGAAACTCTAACATTAAAGATTTGTCCCACCCCTATTGCCACTATTTTTTTAAATAATGTTTAAAAATGAACTTTTTAAGTATACCAAGTAATGGGTTTCATTGTATATGGCGGGGGGCTGTTTATATTCAACGCAGTTCTCTCTTCTGTCTACATATTATCACCTTCTGGAAGTAAAAAGTCTTGACCCAAGGGCCCCACACCAGACCAGAATCTCCAGGGGATGGGACACAGGTTTGCAAGTTCCCCAGGGGATTCCAAAGTCTAGACCAAGTTCCGATCAGATGAAAGGGACTGAGTTTGTCACCAGTGCAGGAGGATGAGTATCAATCTTCAATGACACAAGGGTGAGTGACACAGCCCTCCCTTCTGTTTCTCCTGTGTTGGACAATCTGCTCAGAACTTGGAGTGTGCTCTGCTTCAGGAATGTGCTCACACAAGTCATGTTGGGACTATTGAAAGGTAAATCCTTATTTAACAACAGCTAAAGGCTGCAATGCTGCATTTCTGATAACCTTCAGAAGGTGCCCACCTGCCTGGTCTCTGGGCCAACCTCCAGCATCAATGTAATGGAGACTCAAACCAGGTATGGTAGTTCCTGCCTATAACCCCAGCACTTGGGAGGTTGAAGCAAGAGGCTCACCATAAGTTCAAGGTGGCCTGAGCTACGTAGTGAGTTCCAGGCCAGCCTAGACCATATTTAGAGAGATCCTGTCTTTTAAAAAGTCATGATAGAGCAAGGTGACAGTGGGCACACCTTTAATCCCAGCACTTAGGAAGCAGAGGCAAGTGGATCTCTATGAGTTCAAGGCCAGCCTGCTCTAGAGATGAGTTCCAGGACAGTCAAGGCTACACTAAGTTTCCCTATCTCAGGAAAAAAAAAAATCCATGCTAAACACCTGTAACAACCACACTTGAAAGGTGCAGGCAGGATTAGCCACCTGCCTTCCATACCCAGAATTGTTCTGGAATATGTTTATTTGGTGTTTTCCCCCTTTTTAAATTTAAATTAGAAACAAGCTTGTTTTACATATCAATGCCAGTTCCCTCTCCCTTCCCTCCCCCTTTGCCCCCCAGCGGCCCCCAATCCCACCCCCTTTCTGTTCCCCAGGAAGGGTAAGGCCTTCCATGGGGGATCTTCAAAGTCTGTCATATCATTTGAAGCAGGGCCTAGACCCTCAACCATGTGTCTGGCTGAGAGATTATCCCTCTATGTGGAGTGGGCTCCCAAAGTCCATTCTTGTACTGGGGACAAATACCAGAGGCCCCATAGATTAACCAGACCTCCAAACTGACATCCACATTCAGGGGGTCTGAAACATTCCTGTGCTGGTTTGCAGCTATCAGTCTGGGGTCCATGAGCTCCCCCTTGTTCAGGTCAGTTGTTCTGTGGGTTTCTCCAGCCTGGTCATGACCCCTTTCCTCATCACTCCTCCCTCTCTGCAACTGGAATCCAGGAGTTCAGTTCAGTGTTTAGCTGTGGGTGTCTGTTTCTGCTTCCATCAGCTATTGGATGAAGGCTCTAGGATGGCATTTAAGGTAGTCATTATCAGAGAAGGGCATCTAAGATAGCCTCTTGACTATTTATTGTTAGTTGGGGTCAACCTTGTAGATCTCTGAACATTTCCCTAGTGCCAGATTTCTCTTTAAACCTATAATGGCTTCCTCTATTATAGTATCTCTTTTCTTGCTCTCCTCTATTCTTCCCAACTCTATCTTCCTGCTCCCTCATGTCCTCCTCTCCCCTCCTCTTCTCCCCTTCTCTTTCTCTTAACTCCTTCTCCCCTCCCCCCATGCTCCCAATTAGCTCAGGAGATCTTGTCTCTTTCCCCTTCTCCGGGGGACCATGTATATCTCTCTTAGGGTCCTCCTTGTTTCCTAGCTTCTCTGGTGGTGTAGATTGTAGGCTGGTAATCCTTTGTTCTATGTCTAAAATCCATATATGAGTGAGTACATACCATGTTTGTATTTTTGTGATTGAGTTACCTCACTCAGGATAGTTTCATCTAGTTCCATCCATTTGCCTGCTAATTTCAAGATTCCATTGTTTTTTTTCCACTGAGTAGTACTCCATTGTGTAAATGTACCACATTTTCTCCATCCATTCTTCAATTGAGGGGCATCTAGGTTGCTTCCAGGTTCTATTACAAATAATGCTGCTATGAACTTGGTTGAACAGATGTCATTGTTGTATGAATGTGCATCTTTTGGGTATATGCCTAACAGTGGAATTGCTGGATCTTGTGGTAGACTGATTCCCATTTTCCTGAGGAACCACCATACTGATTTCCAAAGGGGCTGTACGGTTTGCACTCCCACCAGCAGTGGAGGAGTGTTCCCCTTTCTCCACATCCTCTCCAGCATAAACTGTCATTGGAGTTTTTTTATTTTAGCCATTCTGACAGGAGCAAGATGCTATCTGAGAGTTGTTTTGATTTGCATTTCCCTGATGGCTAAGGATGTTGAACACTTTCTTAAGTGTCTTTCAGCCATTTTACATTCCTCTACTGAGAGTTCTCTATTTAGTTCTGTACCCCCTTTTTTAGTTGGATTATTTGGTGTTTTGATCACTGTCTTCTTGAGTTCTTTGTATATTTTGGAAACCAGCCCTCTGTCAGATGCTAAAATTATACAATGGAAAAAAGAAAGCATCTTCAACAAATGGTGCTGGCATAACTGGATGCTGGTGTGTAGAAGTCTGCAGATAGATCCATATCTATCACCATGCACAAAACTTAAGTCCAAATGGATCAAAGACCTCAACATAAATCCAACCACACTGAACCTCTTAGAAGAGAAAGTTGAATGAATTGATACAGGAAACAGCTTCCTGAACATAACACCAGTAGCACAGACACTGAGATCGACAATTAATAAATGGGACCTCCTGAAACTGAGAAGTTTCTGTATGGCAAAGGACACAGTCAATAAGACAAAATGGCAGCCTACAGAATGGGAAAAGATCTTCGCCAACCCCACTTCTGGAATATAGTTGAATAGAAGCCGTCCACAAAAAAAGAGTTCTCAATGGCTGCTATGACAGAAAAAGCTTATTCCATTGTTCTATGTGGGGTGTGTGTGCAACTCATTGCAGGTGAGGGTCCTAGCCTTCAAGGTGCATCGGAAGGGGAGGATGTGTGCATGCGGGAGAGAGCGTAGGCTGCCAAGTGCATTGTAGAAGAGGGATGTGTGAACTAAAGGTTCAAGACCACCCAGGTCTACACAGCACAATCCTGTCTCAAAATACAACAGTGCAAAAACAAAGAAGAACAGAAGTTCAAAACAGACATAAGGGGCAAGCAGAGAAAAAGTCAATATTTGCTGTAAAAGAAGTCACTACTTCGGAATATTTTTAGTCAAGTAATAGTAAGTGCTAACTATCCACGAATGCATCTTTGAATAAAAGAGCAGACCATGGTTAGCCAGTCTTAAATATAAAATCTTTCTGACAGGGCAAGTTTCTATTAGGCAAAGCCTGTTTTATACCAAAGGTACTTTTCAAGGCCTACAAAATGTTTTAATTTCTCTTGAACTTGGAAGTAAAACACGAACTTTTAGGTCAAGAAAAAAGGTCTTACCATATAATATTACTATCTTTATCTGTAGTAGTAAATCATGACTTTTTTTCTTATGTTATTTTTTCAGGAGGAGGAGGCTCAGGAAGCTGAAGTGCACAGAGCCCACAGAAATCTCAGTGCACACAAGTTCTCAAAGTCCATGTTCATCCCAGGTAGTTAGAAAAGCCTGTAGACCTTCCTATCATGGCTGATATTTACATACAGCTGCTTGCATGAGTGGCAGGAAGATATTGGGGAAATTATAAATACACCCCTTGAGTGCAACCAACACTATAAATATACAGAGTTTGACAGTTCCCACACATGCAATTTGTGGAACACACGCACAAAATGTTGTTTATTCGACTAATCCCTAGGGTCTTAAAACTCTAACATTAAAGATTTGTTCCACCTGTATTGCTACTGTTTTTTTAATTTGTGACTGGTGGTCCTATCTGGACCCACTGTTTCCAGATTCTTGTTGTCTCAAGTCAAAGAATGAAAATACAGACGCACACAGATTACAAAGTGGGAAGGAAGCTTCATTCAGAAGCCAAGCAATAGTACCTTTCCAAAACTCGGTCGAACAGCAGAGGCCAACTGAGTGGACGAGCATTCAGGGGCGGAGGCATGGTTTGGGGCTTTGTTTTGTGGGCTCTGGGAGGAGGATGGGCTTGGAATCAGGGGGCTTGGGAGTGTGGTTCTCTGTTTTAGCTGACAGATTTGATTATATAAGGTTTTTTTTTCTCTCTGTTCTTTCCCACAAGGCATCCACACCATACCAGAGACTCTGCTCTTTTCTCAATTTCCCAAAAAGACTGTCTGGAAGTGCCTAGATCAAGCTGGACTTAAACTTGAAGTACTTTTTCTGACTGGCTCACCAGTGCTGGGATCACAAACATGTGCCACCAAACCTGGGCCTTGAAACACCAATTTTGATTGCTGTCTCTCATCTTTTGAGAGCTCCGGATCATTCCAACTTGTGAAAAGCCATCAAATCCTACCCGTGATCCACCCAACGAACCACTGAGGTTTGCAAAGAAGTCTACTGTAGGACAGGCTTTATCTCAGACTATGATTGTTTACTACACTGGTGTGTGTGTGTGTGTGTGTGTGTGTGTGTGTGTGTGTGTGTGTGTTTTCTCCCCAAATTGGCTACAGGTGACTTCCAGTTGTATCCTACTTCTTAAATATTAAGCCAATTTAAGACCCCCTGTTTGATCTCCAGGCATAACTCCACAAGACAGTTCAAAGAGATATTCTCAAATGCACACTGTGCCTATATATCTTCCATCAGTCATCAAATGTTCCAGAGTGTTCCAATGTGGGTGTGTAAGAGAGAACTACATGTACCCAATGTTTTTCCAATTCCCTAACACCTGTCCAACACTGATAGAAACATGTTAAATCTCAGCCTGAAGCAAGCTTTCATGGTTATATAATAAAAGCCCTTTTAAAGGAGCTGATAATTGAGACACTAACACCATTTTAATTAGGGTGGCACAACTAGTCACTGATTATACCTGTGGGAAATAATGGGTGTGCAACTGTCACATGGGCTGTAATTATATTGAAGGCTTCTGGTGACTGGTGACATGACAGATGTGAGAATGAGGCCCTGCTGCTCTGCTCATGATGTCATCTGAGCCCTGCTAAATGCATGTGTGGCTCTGGGTGCTCTTACTCACCACAGACGATCCAGTTCCTGTTTTCCTATTTACAAAGGGCAGGCAGAGGAAGGGACCAGAGAGGAAACTCCATAAACAAAATGAGGATGAATCTGTTTCCCTCCCACAAGAGTTATATAAAGTATTTTCACTAAGCTTTTCAAACTTCATTTGAATACATCTGATAGCTTCTAACATAGAATCTAAAATGAAATCAGATCCTGCCATAAATGGATCTCAGAACTTTTGTCTGGCCTACCTTAACTAACCTGCAGTTTCTGAATCTAAAGGAATAGAGTCAGGGTTAAAGGCAATGCACCAAAGCTGCTTTGTTACTGTTTTCCAGTCTGGAAGATCTGTGCCTGTTCACTTGGGATAGCTTCATCTCTAACCCTCAAAGAAGACAGGAGGGCAGATGAGTTTACAGAGGCGTTCACACTTCAACCCAACCGAACCAACTTAACAATTATATGTAATATGCAGAGGAAAAACTGCACACTTCTATAAGCACTCACATTGCAGAGAGACAGAGACAGAGAGAGAGAGAGAGATCAATTAAATAACCTAATAATATGCCCTAAGGGTTTGGAAAAACATGAAAAAGTCAAATCCAAATGACTGCAAGAAATAACAAATAAAAAAGTATTCTAATTGATAAGTAGACTAATGAACTAAATAGACAGTTCTCAAAAGAAAAAACAAGAATCCAATAAATATTTTTAAAAGTGTCCAATATCCTCAGACATCAGGGAGATGCAAATTAGAATCTCTTTGAGAGTCCATCTTGCGCCAATCAGAATAGTTAACATCAAGAAAACAAATACTAGTGAGGATATGGAGAAATAAAACCGTTAGTCCTTGCTGTTGGGAGTATAAAGCAGTATAGCTACTATGGTATTCAGTGTGGAGGTTTCTAAAAAAAACTAAATATAGAACTACCCTATGGCCTAGCTCTATCGCTCTTGGGAATTTACTCAGGGAATTCTAAGTCATATTACAGAAATGCTTGTACATCCATGTTAATGCCTGCACTAGGCACAATAGCTAAGAAGAAGCCTAGGCCACCAATAGTTGCACAGATAAAACAAAAATTTGCTATATATTCACGGTGGAATTTTATTCAGCCAAAAGAAGAAAGAAAAACAGAATCATGACAATTGCAAGAAAAATATGGAACTCGAAAACATTTAGCAGCCGGGCAGTGGTGGCGCACGCCTTTAATCCCAGTACTTGGGAGGCAGAGGCAGGCGCATCTCTGTGAGTTCGAGGCCGGGCTGGACCTACAGCCTCCAAAACAATACAGAGAAACCCTGTCTCGTAAAACAAAAAACAAAACAAAACAAAAAAAACATTTAGCTAAAGAAAGCAAGCATGACTTAGAAGAAAAAAGACTACTTTTTTCCCATGTGTGGTTCCTAGATTTTGATTTTTATTTATGGGGGGGGCAAGGGCCATGGAACTAGAAAGGAGACCACGAGAGGGGGCAGAAAGAGAGAAAAAGAAGGCGATTGAATTCATGTGACAGGGAAGCATAAGGGAGCTACTGGGGGGGGGGAGTGGCAGGGGGAGGAGGGCAAGAGAGGGAGGAAGTAGGGGAATCTTGAAGGATTTCTTGGGCTGCCAGCCTCCAAGTCATGGTACAAAGACTCGTTATTAATTGTGAATGCTTGGCCTTAGCTTAGTTGTGTTTCGAGTTAACTTTTTTAACTTAAGTCACCCATTCTATAAATCTATGTGCTGCTCCAAGGCTTGTTCACCTCATCTATCTATTGTTCATCCTGCTTTCCTCCTTCCTCTGTGTCTGTCTGTCTGGCCCCTGGCTGACAGACTTCCCTTTTCTCTCTGCCAACCACCCCGCCTATCCCTTCTCTGCCTAGCTATTGGTCACCCAGCTTTTAATTAGATCAGTCAGGTGCCTTAAGCAGGCAACACATCTTTACATAGTCAAACAAATGCAGCATAGACAAAAGCAACACATCTTTACATAGTTAAACAAATATTCTATTCTATAACAAAGTGGGTTTGGAAATGCCATAATGAAACCCATTATTTTGTATGTTAATTTTGAAAATTAAAAAGAAAAGGAAACTATAGCATTTTGCTTCAGGATTTAAAGCTAAGCCATGAAAAATAAAAAACTAAATAGTGTGTGAGGGAAAAAATTCTCATTAGTATATTGTGGAGGTGCACAAGAAAACTATGTATCTATAAACCAAAAACAAGTCACTGTGAAAAAGGAGTCATCAGAGGACAAGAAATTAAAAGTAGGAAATAGGAAATTTTAAAAGTTTAACACAGGGTTGATAATAAAGACATAGAAATGTCCCAGAAAGTTGTGTTGTTACTGTTTTTAAGACAAATGCACAAGACTGGAGATGGAGCTCGGTGGTACAACACTTGGCTTCCCATTTGTTCAGGGCCCTGGGTTGCTCTCTCTCTCTCTCTCTCTCTCTCTCTCTCTCTCTCTCTCTCTCTCTCTCTCTCTCTCTCTCTCTCTCTCTCTCTCTCTCTCTCTCTCTCTCTCTCTCTCTCCACACACACACACATACATGGAAAATATGAAATAATTTTTTATCAATATTAACCCCATTAAAAGAAATTCCAAGTGAAGAAAGGGGGATGATTAAAGAAAATTCTTAAGCTGAAAATTCAGGAAAATGTGTGTGTCTTCATCAGGGTTACTGTTGATTGCTGTGATGACACACCATGACCACGGCAAGTAGGGGAGGACGGGGTTTATTTGACTCACACTTCCATGTCACTGTCCATCACTGAAGGAAGTCAGGGCAGGAACTCAAGCAGTTCAGAAACCTGGAAGCAGAAGCTGATGCAGAGGCCATGGAGGGTGGCTGGCTATGCTTGCTTTCTTACAGAACCCAGGACCACCAGCCCAGGATGGCACGCACAATGGGCTGAGCACTCCCACATCAGTCACTAAGAAAATGCTTTACAAGCCGGGCGGTGGTGGCGCACACCTTTAATCCCAGCACTCGGAGGCAGAGGCAGGCGGATCTCTGTGAGTTCGAGGCCGGGCTGGACCGACAGCCTCCAAAACAATACAGAGAGACCCTGTCTCGTAAAAAAAAAAAAAAAAAAAAAAAAAAAAAGAAAGAAAGAAAGAAAAAGAAAATGCTTTACAGAAAGATCTGATGGAGGCATTTCTCAACCATGGTTCCCTCCTTTCAATATAACTTGTGCCAAGTTGATATAAACGTAGCCAGGGCAGTTTACTTCTAATAGATATTCAAGACCTGCGAAAAGTGTTAAGGTACACAGACAAGACTGTTTGCCCTCTGCAACACTTTTGAAACAGCAAAATTTGCAAACAGTGTAATTGTTCATATGGTTGTTTGGTTAAACTACATAACCTTCATCATGCAGTTGTTTTAAAATACTAATGTGAGGTTGGAGTGACCCAGGGGTGAGAGCACTTGCTGCTCTACCAGAGAACCCAAGTTTTGTCCCCAGCACCCCTATAAGACCATTCACAACTGCTGGTAACTCCAACTCCAAATGATCTCCAAATCTAGCCTCTGTGAGCACCTGCACTCATATACATGTACTCACACACAAATACACACATACACACATAATTAAAAATAAAGCAAATCTTTTTAAAACACACAATAAATATATAGCAAGGGGATAGAGGCAAAGATCCGTGGTCAAGCCCCCAGTATTACAGAGTGAAAAATAAAATGAGAACAGGGCGCTGTTTATGGGTGTCTGTGTGTGCTGTAGCAGGCCTAGAATGTCACTGACAAGGTATGGTGACCTCAGAAGGGAAATAGGTCTCAGGATTTGTGACCAACCACTAACAGTAGACATGAATGAATGAATGAATGAATCTGATGATTTATCCTATTCTATTAATCCACTGCCAACCTACTATAGTTCTCTTTTTTAATTTTTATTTATTTAATTTTTCATTTGTTTGTTTGGAAAATATCCACAAGCAAATCACATGAACATGTGAAGGTCAGAGAACAATTTGTTCTATCTTGTAGGTCCTGAGACTCGAACTCAGGTCGTCAGTGTAGGCAGCAGATGCTAGGCCTGCTGAGCCATCTCGCCAACCCCCTTCAACAGTCCTCTAGAGAAGTGTGTTACTCTTCAGCTCCGTCCTCCTCATCTGCAGTGTAGTGCAGACTTCTGGTCTTCGTGTGCTGATAGAATCAGCTTCTCTCCCTTTTCACCCATGTGCCAACAGCCTTGAAGGCACTGCTATAACAACAATGTTCACACTGTGCTGTCGTTGGTTGTCTGTTATTTTGCAGATGCAGTGGTTGAATAACGGGCAGTGTGGACTCTGCCATTGGACATAACTGGCCTTCTGCTTCTCTGCTCTTTTGACAGATGACTGTAACTCACTGAGTTGGACTTTCCTCACCCTTAACATGAAAACCCTCATAGGAGACTTGGCATCTTTGAGAGCTGTGATGAAGACTGGAGCCTGGCACTCAGCCAGAATTCTGACCACGGCCGTCCTCATCACTATTGCTTGTCCTTGCTGGGCAACAGTTAGGTAAGGGCAAGGTCTGCTTCCTTGTCTTTATATGATTCTCCAGTGTCTATACAATATTGATGCCCATTTTAGAAACCTGAATGTCACTTGGCAATCCTTTAGAAAAGCTCTGAGAAACTGGCATGAAAGCCAGGTTACGGGTCAGTGAACACCAGCCCCAGGTGGGCAGCTATAGGAATGAGACCGTTCCTGGGGTGGTGGGATTGCAGGATTCTCCCTGTGAGGCATTCCAGGGTTACAGACGTCATTGCTGCTTCTTTTCTGTGTTAATTTGTTGGAGCTTAATCTGCATTATTCACACTAGCAATGGTTCCTTCGGGTGGTCTGGTCAGAGGGCTTTGGTCGGGGGTTTCCTGATAAAACTCCTATGTGATGGTCCATTTTAGTAGCAGGTGTGGAGTTGCAGGCCTGCCTAACCAGTACCATTATGTGTCCATTAAGTGTTGTAGGAGTCCACCTGTACACAATAATGAGGCTCTGTGTCTTCTGTAGCTGCTGCAAACACTCCTAGGATTGTCACTTGCCTTGCCCAAGCAACATTTTTAAGCATGAGGCATAGCCCTACCTAAGTGTTTGGTGGCACCTCTCTGTGACTCCTCCTAGCGTGTCATCATTTGTCCCTCCCTACCTCCTGGCATACACCCACAGCAGCACTGAATTGCAAAGTGCAAAAGAACTCATTTCTTTTCTGATAGTCTGCATGAGCCCATCCACAAGCCCCCACCCAGCTGCTACCTGATGTTAAGCAGAGCCAACTGGAGAGCTGGGGCCCGGACAGGCACATCGCTCAGAGGCTGATTCAGCAGTTCTGCTGCACTCTGGGAAATTCCTCCTAGGGTGATCTGTTCAGTGCTTCTCCAATTTTGTCCTTGAGAAACACCAGTGTGAACGGTCCTCCCTTCCTAATAGCAACACTTACCAGTACCTTCTGGAGAGACACACTGTCCCTGGGTACCATTTTCAGCCACCTAGTCCTACCGAGAATATGTTACGGACCACAGCCTTGGACACGATACTGGTATTCCATAGTCAGCCATGATGTATACCTGGAACTTAACCCTCACCACCACACCAGGAGATGCCAGTCGTGGCTTAATGACTAGCAAAGCCCAGAGTTACACCCAGCTATCCCCTCTCCAAAACCCTGTGTGGCCTCATGTGGGGACTTTTAGAAAAATCTCTAGAGTCACTTTCTTATGAAGATCTAAGTAATTCAAGCTCCTGTGCAGACCACTGCTACCCTGATCCATCTGGCTTCACCACCAACTCCAGGTCCCCACCTCCTCTTCTGCTCTGCCAACACAAGTTCTGCAAACAATATTGCTGAGCTCAGTGTCTTCTCAGCCTCCTCCCAGCAGAGGCTCCTCAACCTGCCCATGCACGCCCATCCGGGGTAGATGTCACCAGCTGCACACCCCCTACTCTGTGCTTTCTTGACCCTCGGGTTTACTGTCCAGCATCCCTGGAACTGTCTCTGCCTCCCTCTGTCTACCTCAACAGAGCAGTCCCTAAGGTGATCCGGCTGGCTGTTCTCTTGGGTAACTGTCCACTGATTAAACGATGTTGGGTCTCACCCCTCTGCCCCTTACCTAACAGAAAAGGTTCATGCTTTGTCTCTGGTGTCGGGGGCGGGGGGGGGGGCATCTCGTAATGGGCCCAATGTCTCAAAAACCTTCAGACTCATCCCTTGCATTGTTTGCTACATCCCTGAGAGAATTGTATTCTTTTTCTCCAACTGAGGAGCTAGGACACCATGGTCTTCCTTAACACGGAAAAGATGCACTCCCATTCAGACTCCAAGGTGAGTGTGTCTGAGAAGAGTGGGGAGGGACTGTATTTTAAAACCCTTGATGGCAGAGTGCCTTTCACCTGTGTTGCCAACCGCATGGCAAAGTGTACAGATCATAAGCAAACAGCATGCCACAAGATGAAAGCCCGGAGTGGGAAAGCACCATTGCTCACGCCAAACACATATTTGCTTTTCTGTTGGCGCTGGAGTGCCATTGTTTCTCCAGGAGTGAAATGTGTCCTGTGGTACCATGCCATCCAAATCTGCACTCTGGCAGCAGGAAAAGGGGACTTGGTGCCACTTGTCCATTGCGAGGGCATGTTCCTCTAAACCGAAGGGTTGGTTGTGTGTGTGGCAGGGAGAGCTGGGGGCTGTCCTCCTCTGTAAACTGAGCAACTCATGTTTGAGGCAATAAAAAGGAAGTATCTACAGTAAGGGTTCAGAGAAGAAAAAAGGGCAGTCATAAAGCCTTGTGAGAGTCTTAAGAATGCCCATAATGGGCAGGAGACACAGCTCAGAGGTCAAACGCACGTGTTGCTCTTTCAGAGGACCCAGGAGCAAGACCCAGCACCCACATTACAGTTCAAAACTATAACTGCAGTTCCAGGGGGTCCCACTCTCTCTCCAGGCCTCCATAGGCACCAGGCGAACATGCAGTACACATGCATGCAACAAAACACTCATACACATTAAGTAAAAATAAATAATCCTAAACCAAAGAAACACCCAGTTCTTTACTCCAAAATAACACTCATTTCCCCCTCCGAGTCCTAGAGAACATCTCAGAAGAGGAGGCAGAGAGCGATAAGAGATAAAAAATGAGGGAAAGCGGCCTTCTTCCCCCTGGCTATGACAGAGCCACTGTAACAATGAACACGCAGCAGCTGCACCTACCTAAACAAGTTGAAGGGAAGCTTGAGAGGAGGTGAGCAGCAGCAGGGAATAAGAACAGGTAACGGGGGACTGTGGTCCTGATGCATCATAAACATGCGTGGATCTGTCAAAAAGAAAAAGAAAATTACATTTGCTCAGATCCATCCAGCTGTGCCTTACTTTTCAAAGCTTTGGAGGTATAAGCTAATTAATTACATATTATTTATTGGAAGCTATTAAAAGCATAATTTGAACAACCACTTAACCCTCATGCATGATAAAGCCATTTGTTTTCTTGATTAAATTAGCATCACATGACCTGAGATGAAAACATGAAACTGTGTTGACGTTGGAGTCAGAAATAAGTCACTGTTCCTAGAAGGGAGCTTTCTGGAGTGTTTGCGGCTAACACTAGACCACAGCACTTCCTGTCAGACATCTCACCCTGTAGATCCCCATGACCCAGTGACCCCATGATCCTGATGGAGTCTTCCTACCTGGAAGCCCCCGGCTAACTCCTGTGTTTTGGTCACAGTGAGTGATGCAGTTTACTCCGTCGATTCTTTTCATTTTTGCCTCTGTTGTCGACAAGCTTCCTAGGGTTAGAATGTTCCCACCTTGGGGTTCTTCTTCCCCGAGGGAAGTGAAATCCAACGAATCATTTTCTCCAGGCTTGGGCAGCTGGACCAGGCATGGGAGCTGGTTCTTCCACTCAGGTGCGTTCCTTCAGGACATAGCACCCAAAAGAATGCACCCACGGACGGGTAAAGGAAACCAGGGCTGTTTTTAAGCCATAGAGAAAGAAAGAAATCATGGCATTCTCAGGAAAGGGGACACAGTAGGGGAGGGGACATGATGCTAAGCAAAATAAGCTGTGCTTAGAGGACAAATACCACATGCTTTCTCTCACATACAAAATCTAGACTTACCTTTGTGTGGGGTCATGAAGGTAGAAAGGGTGGTATGAGAGGGGAGGAAGAGATCTCAGTGGGGAGGGGACGAAGGGGAGACATGGAAGTGGAGGAGAAAGCTGTTGGGGGAGGGGAGTGTCAACAGCAGGAAGGGGAGAATAAGTATGAAGTACAATGGCATTCTTGTATGAAAATGCATAACGAAAAATCGGTTTTAAAGATATTTCTGGGCTGGAGAGATAGCTTAGTGGTTAAGAGTACTTGTTCCTGAAGAGGATTCAGGTTCGAATCCCAGCCCACAAAGCTTACATATGCCCACAACTTCAGTCCCAGAGGATTGGCAGACTTGCTCATGATGCACAGACATATTTGAGCAAAACACTTACAGACGATGAATAAATCTAGTTTTTAAAGAAGATACTGCAACCTAGGAATAATTCTTGCAAGAGCAGAAGAAATACTGCCTCTGAGAACTCCCAAGACTCCATAAGCAGCATGGCAGAGGATCCAAGTACCCTTGAGTGCAGACCACAGGATCCCTGCCTGGTCCTGCATGGGGCTCTCCTGGAACAGCCCAGTGATAGATCTGGACACTGGCCTTAGTGTCTAGACGTCAAGCCAGATTCTACATCTCTGATGGAGATGTCACAAGCCTCTTGAATATCCTTTGGGTTTGTTCTCTCCTCTGTCATTAATTCACTCAGTAGTCATTAAGGGAACCTTGCTGTGATAATACTCTCCTATGTTCAAGCACAGTTACTGCTACTGGTATTACAGGAACACTCAGAGAAGCTTGCATTCTAGTGAGTAAGAGCAAGTCATAAGCAAATGAATCAACTCAATAAAGAGGCATACAGGATGTCAGGGGAGCAGGGAAAAGAGAGGAAAAGAGCTAAGGGCAGGCAGTTGAGTCACAAGCTTGAGTGGGTTGGGAAGAGAAGTCCTCTTACAAATGAAAAAGCGATGGACATTAGAACACACCCGAGCATACATGCTTCTGATACCCAGATGTGGAGGGAGGGTGTCCCACAGCAGGAATAGTAAGAGTGAAGGCCATCAGATAAGAGCATGCCCTGGAAAGGGTTGTAGACAATGCTTAGCACAGTGAGCTCTCTAACGTCATTCCGTAGCCCATCAGGGACCGTCCACAGGGAGAACACTAACTTCATGCTAAGCACCCATTTGTTCATATGTGGTCTGCACTGGAGACCTGGGCAAGCCTCCTGGGACTATCAAGCTCAATTTATACAATATTAGACATCTATAGATAAACCTACCTGTATGTCCAAATACATAGAGGATTTAGTTGCTTAGCAACAAAACATACACCTAAAATACAAATCAATACACTTTGATTATGTTAAAACTTCAGAGGGGGAAACGACCTGAGGTAACCTGTGAAGATGGTTCGCTACTCTCTTGACCGGGAAAACCCTACAAAATCACGCAAGTCAAAGAGGTTCAAATCTCTGGGTTCACTTTAAGAATACCCGTGAAACTGCCCAGGCCATCAAGGGTATGCATATCTGGAAAGTCACTAAATGTCTGAAGGATGTCACTTTGAAGGAGCAATGTGTGCCGTTCCGGCGGTACAATGGTGGAGTGGGCAGGTGCGCCCAGGCCAAACGGTGGGGCTGAACACAGGGTCTAGACGTAGATTCTCTGGTCATCCAACACATCCAGGTGAACAAAGCACCTAAGATGCATCGACAATCTTACAGAGCTCACGGCCGGATTAACCCATACATGAGCTCCCCCTGACACATCGAGATTATCCTCACGGAGAAGGAACAGATTGTTCCAAAGCACAGAAGAGATATCCCAGAAAAAAATGAAGAAACAAAAACTTACAGCACTGGAATAAATTCAGCATAAACTAAATGCAGATAAAAGTAAAAAAAAACTTCAGAGGGGATTATTTTGGTATCATTGCCACTCTTATAAATGTTTTCTTAGAGGCAGTCATAAAGTTGGCACTTGAGGGAAGGCATTTCTGTATGTATGTGTGTGTGTGTGTTTTCTTTATTAAACATTCAGAGCTTTGAAAAGGGAGATTTATCATGACATAGAATTTTCCATTCCAAGTCTGACTATGACTTGAAATAAAAAAAGAAAAATTGATAAATGTAGATACATTAAAAGCAGCAATGTCATACGGCAAAACACCATGAAGAAAGTTAAACGGGAAATTAGAAAATTAGAAGAAAATATTTAAAACAGAGAAAAAGACTAATATCTGCCATATTCAAAATCAGTTGACAAAAATCATTGCCACATGAGCATGAGGACCTGAATTCAATGCCCAGAACCCATATAAAAAGCCAAATGTAGTGGCAGGTGCTTGTAACTCCAGTGAAGCCACAATGGGGACTGGCAGATTCCTCATTGGTCAGCCTGCCTGACACAGAGAGCCCAGGCCAGTGAAATACACTGGGCGACAAAACAAGGTGAACAGTGCCCGAGGAGGAATGTGTGAGGTTGTCTACTGCTCTACACACACACACACACACACACACACATGCACAAGCATGTATATGCACATGCACATATATGACCAGAACATGAACATGTCAACATGTCCATGAACACATCCATCATCATACACACAAAAAAGAACCTTTGAGAAGCAGAGGACAGGGCAACTACTAGAAAAATGGAGAAAATACACATACAATTCATTATAAGACATATGAAAATGTCCCACATACATACGAAAAATGTATTAACAACTACATTTAGAAAAACTTAATGCTAGAATGTCAGTCCTCACCTATCAGATTGGAAAAAATTAAAAGTGTAACATCTCATGGTGTCGGCAAGGCCTTGAGGTCATTCTCTTTCATCACTACTGGGAGTGCAAATGGTACAGTGCTTCTGCAGGAAAATCAGCACTTTCTCGAAAATTCAAACAGGACCCATCCATGTCACTTCCAGAAACCCACCCTCAAGCTACAGCACCAAAATCACAGACATCTTTTTTGTTGTGTGTGTGTATAGCATTACTGAAAACCATCT